TTTCCCTCTTCCCTTTAAAGTTCTTATGCTGAAAGGAAGCTTAGAGCTTGTCATAACTGGCTAGAGCCTGGATAAGTACTTACTATGGTTTATGAGGTACAGTCATTTAGTTTAAAAGACACTAAGAGTGGAGGGGTGAAAATAGTTCTGGAAACTTACAGAATTAAGGGAAGAGGGAATTGGATTAATGTACATATTCGAAGGGTTTTTCAGAAACTAGTTCACTGCACCAAAAATACTAATTTTGTATTGAATATTGAAATTGGTAAATAGTTGATATGGCTAGTACTTGCAGTATTTCAGTAGACTTTCTTCAGTAGGTACAGTCATTTAGTTTAAAAGACACTAAGAGTGGAGGGGTGAAAATAGTTCTGGAAACTTACAGAATTAAGGGAAGAGGGAATTGGATTAATGTACATATTCGAAGGGTTTTTCAGAAACTAGTTCACTGCACCAAAAATACTAATTTTGTATTGAATATTGAAATTGGTAAATAGTTGATATGGCTAGTACTTGCAGTATTTCAGTAGACTTTCTTCAGTTGTCTTTGCTTTTTTATTATCTTTTCCCTTGCGTGGTGAATTGCAGTACATAAAATAGAGAAGAAATCCTTGTTCTTTTGTTTAAGCATGGTATTATGTCACAGGTCCACTATTCCTCAATCCCAGAGGAAAAACACTTGCAGATATACTGAATTAATAGGTTTGATTTCCACCGGTTTGTGGAAATAGTTCAATAGTTAACATGATATTTATTTTTATTTAATGTTTTTCAGTGTTTCATGTTCTCTGCTTCTTGCAGGTAGGAGTAGTAAAGCAAATGGAAACTGCTGCTTTGAAGGCTGTTGGAGAGAACAAAAGCTCTCTTTTTACCCGAAAACTAACTTCACTGTATACAAAATCTACATTTCTAGGAGAAGATATCCTTTTATTAAGTGTGTTGAATTATTTTGGTGATGTTTATTATCCCATACCTCTTCTTGTTAGTCTGAAATATCCTCCTGTTATCCTTCCAGATACATTTACACGTGCTTCATCTGTTTTGCCCACAGAGTTTCCCAAATTAGGGATGATGGTTTTCCTATTGTGTTGTTCCATGTATTCAAATAGCATCTTATTATATAGATTATTATATAAAACTCATTGTATAAATGTGATGTGGTCTGTTTGCTTCCCCTAGTCACAGGGCTAAGGGAAAAATGATTAGGGGGATTAAAATACAATCTACGAAAATAAAAAAGCATTCGGAGATTCTTGGTTTTTTAAAAAGTGACAGGAGCAACAGTAGAGGTTTATAAAATAAATTAAGAAGAAAGAAAAACACATTTTTCTACTTTCATAATGTAGAATCTCCATCCATCTAACTAGAGAAAGAAGCCTTCACAAAATGGTCTCGTGCAAAGGTAACAATTTCAGACCAGTATACTATAATATTTGGGTTATGTAAGGACTGTGTAGAAAATTAATTTCCTTTAACACTTGGTACATTTGAATCCCCTGCTGAAATTGGATAATTCAATGGATGCTGAGGAAATTCCATCTAATGTCTGGGATAATTATCTTCTCTGTATCTCTGAAAATAAAGAAAATTTAAACCAAAAGAATCACAACATTGTTTTAGGCATAGTGGTAAGCATTTCTAAAGAGTTTTTAATTTATAATTGTAGCTGTAGAAGTTGTAATTGTTAACAATATATCCACCTGTACTTTAGTAGAAATGCTATAATTTGTTCTAGTTCAGTGCTGCATCAGCAGTGAAAGTGACTTTCTCAGCTGTTGGTTTTCTGTTGGCTCTGCAAACTTTCTAAGGGTCAGAGTACCCTTCAGGAGTGGGTTGGCTGTAGGATGGAGGGACTGAAAGGACTTCTGTCCAATTTTGTGAGTTCTTTCTTCCCACCCATGCCCCAAACTAATCCTTTTACCCTATCCTTCAGAAATAGTTTTGGGGAGACTGATAATGGGAAGAAAAAGTGGGAAAACTGCATTCTAACAGAATGAGTATGAGAATGAGTTATGGAGTAATATAATACTATAGAGTAGTAGGTTCAGGTTTGTTTGTTTGTTTTACGTACAGATTTTATAGATTGGTTAAGGGCTAAAGTGTCCCACTGAAGTGTTCCTTTCAGCAGAAATGAAATGGAACTAACTCAGATCAAACACAATTCTATATAAGAAAATCTTGGGAACTATGAAAGTTTGACAGTTTATATCAATCTTCCCCAATTGATTTTGCCCCTCCTCTCGTGTTAGATTACAACAGGGCCATTGCCTTAGCTGGCTGGAGGTTCATTTAAGTCATAATCCAGTGTATCTGTAAGATGGCATGTTGAGGAACATCAAAATTGGATTTAGTTAATTTTGGGATATCCCAGGATTTGGAATAACCTGATGAAACTAATTGAACGCAAGATCATAAATAGAAAAGGACCTCAGTACAAACATGAAACAAATATACGATATGAATTGTACCACATGCAGTGATGTTCACTAGTTTAGACATTTTAAACAATTAATGGAGTCATCTTAATAATGGTTGTTAGTCAGGCCAATTGAATGGAACTGCTTGCCTGCTAAGTACTTCCTGCAAATACCTTGAGACACCTGTATGGCTGAAGACAAATAATAGCAACTTGATGTGGACATTTTTCTTTTTTAGTAAATCAAAACATAATACAATTAACATTCTTTAGAATCATTCTATAACTATGTTGGTTTATTGTACTACAGAGAAGAGAGAAATAAGATGCCTTGGGGTTGCACAGAGTTACTGTATCTTGAAAATAATATAAGAAGTTGCTATGTTTATTCTTTTTTCAGGCTGTCCAGCCTACTACAGGAGAGGTTCTCTTTGACAGTTTTCAAGATTCTGTAGCTCGTTCAGAGTTGGAAAATCTAATATTACGCCTGCAGCCAGTTGAGATTATTCTTCCTAGAGACGTGTCAGATCAGACTGAGAAGCTTATAAGTCGTATGACTTCTGTATGGTAAGCTTTGCGTAGTAGAACAATTTGATATATGGTTGGGACAAGGCTCGGTGAGATCTTTGGACTGAAAAGTCTACCTTTGTATATAAATCTCCCCCATTTTTAATTGTTTACAAAGAATTCAAACATTATTGAATTTCTGTATGTTATTTCTACCATTAAGATAGTTCGCATTTAAATTTAAATAA